AAGAGGGAAAAAAGGTTTGACTGTTAAATGCTTATCTCTTACGTAGAGCTTACTTGTTAGTTGCCGATAATAGCTTCATTCTGGAGAATGCTGTAGAATTTCATTTGTAAATGCTCGCTGTCAGCCGCTACCCTATTTATATCCGTTTTGAAATCCCTTTTTGTTTGGGGTTAACCTTCCCACCACCTTCTTTGTCCCAGTTTTGTTGACTCCTGGGGCCCCTCAGAAGCTCAGCTGCAGTTCAGGCGGGGACTTTGTGAGAGGCCAGACAGGTGACATTTTGCTGATGACAAGTTGAGAGGGTTTCTAGCCTGTTGTCCAGCAAGTTTTGGCCCTTTGACACTCCCCCTCCCCCCCACCCCCGTTTACAGCCCCTAGGGCTCCTCTCCGTACTGGATGGCGGCTCGAGACTTTACATGCCTAGGGAGGTGTTTTCTGGCTCTGGGGTGGCACCTCCTTAGGACCAAGGGAGATGCGACACTGGGCAGGGGGTGTTCACAGGGGCACCCCAAAGGGCCCTCGTGGAGCTGGAGCCCCCGTAGACACTGTGCATCAAAGCCCTGGCCTTGGTGGGGACAAGAGCAGGACCCCACCCCACCCCCATGCACCACACCCGGTTCTGCCTGCGTCTGTGAGGCCCAGAGAGGTGAAGGGGCGCTCCTGAGGCGCACACCTCATTACCTGGTCCTTGCCTTTGAGCGAGGATAATTGTGTGTTTCTTCCACCTGGCTGCTATGCTTCTGCTTGATGGGCTTTCATGAGACTCCATTTCTGATTCTCTGCGAGGCTCTTTTGGGAAAAAATGAGAGGGAAATAAATCAGTCCTTCCCGCTCCTTCTCAGGAATACTCAACCTCCCTGAGCCTCATGTAGGGTCTGTACATTCGGCAGATTGTTCAAAAGACTGATGCCTTGAAAACATTATGCATAGTGAAATAAACCAGACACAAAAGGACAAAGACTGGTATGATTCCAAGTACACGGAAGTACCTAGAATAGGCGAATTCATAGAGACGGAAAGTAGAATAGTTCCTGGGGGCTGAGAAGGGAGGAAGGGAGGTTATTGCTTACAGGGTACAGAGTTCGAGTCTGGGACGGTGGAAAGCTCTGGAGATGGATAGTGGCGATGGTTGCACGACATCATGAATATGCTTCATACCTCTGACCTGTACACTTAAAAATGGTTAAAGTGGTAAATTTTACGTTACGTATATTTTACCCAATAAAAAATTAATTTCAAAAATGAAAAAGGGGGCTTCCCTGGTGGCGCAGTGGTTGAGAGTCCGCCTGCCGATGCAGGGGACGCAGGTTCGTGCCCCGGTCCGGGAAGATCCCACGTGCCGCGGAGCGGCTGGGCCCGTGAGCCATGGCCGCTGAGCCTGCGCGTCCGGAGCCTGTGCTCCGCAACGGGAGAGGCCACAGCAGGGAGAGGCCCGCGTACCGCAAAAAATAAATAAATAAATAAAATGAAAATGAAAAGACTTTGAAGCCGAAAAAGGGTTTTTCCCGCCCTCTACCGCATCCCTCCCAGATTTCTGACTTCCTTGTTCTGCCCTTCACTCCTCACTTTAATTGATTTTGGGCAGGGGTGGGGGGGTTGTTCGCCACTGAGTTGCTAATTCATTGTAAATGATAATGCATCTGTGACATAAAAATGATTATACGTTCAGGAATAACATTTATTGATAGTTAAGTGTTTCATTACTTCTTTGCTTTCTCCAAATGGAATGAATACATATTTTAGACATAATCAAGTTTGTTTTCTCTATTTGAGCCAAACAGACAGGGCTGTTGAAACGATATAGATCTTTAAAATACTGCAAATGAGTCTTGACATCGCTGAATTGTGATGCATCCATGGTACATAGGCTTCAAATCCACGCGCTCTCCTTTGATCAGAAAAATCATTTTTGTGATACTCGAATTTTGAGTTCTGTGGGATTAGGGAAGGGACCAGCAGGGAGTCGGGATCTGAAGTGACCGCCGCGAGTCCTGCCCCCTCCCTTCCCAGTGCAACAGTCTGCATTTTAATTCCTGTCTGCCAGCTCTGCCACGTCTCTTCCCATCTCTGAGCAGTGGCAGGGAATGAGAAATTGGGGCAACAGTGAGTCCTGAGTGGTGTTGGGCCTGGAGTTCAGATAGTTATTGCACAGTGAACCAGGGAGGAGTGGGCTACAGCAGAAAAGCAGCTTCCTTGGCGGGGAACTCAACCCGTGGCCTCCAGGTAACTAGACTTACCTGGGTGCTATTGCAGGTCAAGTACGTGCTCAGCAGCTAGGTGACATTAAACCACTGTCCTCCGGCTCCTTGAGGGGTGCCCTTGACTGGCACTGACTCATGCTCTTTCCTGGTGGCACGGATGGGTTTGCCTCATTCGTCCACACTCTCCTGCCTTCCATCCGAAGCGCGTGCTTGGTCTGGCTGCAGCGATCTCGTGGGACCTGCCCACCTGTGTGGAGGCTGCCATAACCTGCAACCTTGCTGTCTTAGTTTGCAGTGGCTGCCATAACAAATTACCACCAACTGAGTGGCTTAATGCAACAGAAATTTATTCTCTCACAGTTCTGGAGGCCAGAAGTCTGAAATCAAGCTGTCAGCAGGGCCATGCTCCCTCTGCAGGTTCTAGGGGACAGCCGTTCCTCTTCCAGCTCCTGGGGGCTCCAGGCATTCCTTGGCTTGTGGCTGCATTGCTCCAACCTCTGCCTCGCCTTCACGTGGATGTCTCCCCTCTATGTCTCACTTCTACCTCTCCTCTCCCTTTTAAGAACACCTGCCATTGGGTGGCAGGCCCGCCCTAAATCCACAATGATCTCTTCTTGAGATTCTGAACTTAACTACGTTTGCAAAAACCTTTTTTCCCGATAACGTCACATTCATAGGTTCCAGGGGTTAGGACATGGACATACCTTTTGGGGGCCACTGTTCAGCCCGTTGCATTCACCCTAATTAGCAGTGGGGTTCTCGCCCTACCTAAGAACTGGCCCATCCTGGCTCGTTTAGGGGTTTGCATGTTGCCTCAGTCTGAGTTCAGGCCAGAGGGGCAACTTCAGACACAAAGGAGACCCAGATTTACCCAGAGGCTAGACGTGAGGGTCGAGAGGGAGGGGTGAGGTCTGCACAGGAGAGATGCTCCTCTTGAGTGGGAACTTCTGACCTGTGCCTTTTAGAGAGCGAATTGCTCTCTGTGTAGGCTGGGAATACCAACCTGGTATTTGGTGTGTGGTAATAAATTACATATCATCATGAGGATCGTGATCGCCGATTCTGTGGTCATCCTAGCCCTCTGTTGTACTGGAAATTGTTTGAGAGCAGGGAGTGGCCTTTTCCATTCCTTTCCCGAGGAATCTTCTAGATCCTGCAGGAGCTGTAATATAGGTTTGCAGTGCCCTCAGCTCCCTATTCCCTGCTGTTCCTTAGAAGGTACGGTGGTAGAATTGGAGGTTGGAGAAAAGAGGGTCTTGAGAGATTCTCTCCCCACCTGGGATTTCTGGGGCCCAGAATAGACACAAAAGCTTAAAAAGGGAGCATCTGTATTTGTATTCGTTGACAGGAAGCACTAATTATCATAATACAAAAAGAGCCGTTCTGATTCTTGTGTTCCTGGTTGGTGTGCCCAGACTTGTGTTCGGTCAGGCTCATATCTTTGCGGAAGATAGTATCTTGGTCAGTGGAGCTGCTATTACAAAGTACCATAGACTGGGAGGCTTACAAACAACAGAAATTTATTTCTCACAGTTCTGGAGGCTTGAAGTCCAAGATCAGGGTGCCAGCATGGTCAGGTTTTTGGTGAAGGCCCTCTTCCTGGTCTTACTGTATCCTCCTATGGCAGAGGGCAGAGAAAGCAGGCTCTCTCATGTCTTGTATAAGGGCACTAATCCCATCCATGAGGCCTCCACCCTCATGACCTAAATGTCCCCCCAAAGGCCCACCTCCTAACACCATCACGTTAGCGTAGGATTTCAATATATGAATTTGAGGGAACACGAACATTCAGTCCATAGCAGAGATTTGGGCTGTGACCTGAGGGGGGACCCAGAGTCCAGTCTCAAACCTTGAGGCTCAGGGGGGAAGGGGCCTCCCAGGATGACACGTAAGTTCAGCGCAAAGTCAGAACTGGAGCCAGGTCTGCTGCCTCCCCCTCAGGGTGTCTGTGCTCCTGCATGTGTTCACTGCAGCTGCGTTTCATCCGAGGCAGGGTGCCATCCTGTGAGTGGGTCTGTGTGTCAAAGCGGTGCTTACCGAGTGGGGTCACAGATGGGGCAGCGCGCTGGAACCCAAAGCGAGGGGCAGGAGGGTAGCGAGAGGCACTCAGGATGCTGAGCAGCGGGCGCCTGCCAAAATTCTTCAGTGCAGCTTGTCTAGCAAAGCCCGTCTCCAGCCGAGTAAATACAGTGCATAGCTGACAGGCTGACAGCAGGCATCAAACAGTCTTAAACTGCCCCAAATCCGCAGCGCTTTTGAAGCAGCGGTAGAAAAAGGATGCCTACGCAGAACAGAGGCCTGAAACTTTTAATAGTTTCTTCCAGGCCTCAGGATGTCCTGATGAGGTATTAGAGGAAGTAATTCAGGAAGAAAAGGACAAATAACCGCCTCCGTCTGGAGGCCGACGCAAGGGCTGGCCATTCAATCACGGAAGGGGCAAGTGTGGCCCCGCCGTGATCCTCCATGGTCGTCCCCCACCCGCCTGCCTCCTGCCAGGAGCCGCGGGCTCTGACCCTTGTAAATAACAGACAGGTAAATTTCTTGTTTGCTTCCGGGCAAATGTAAACCACATGCGCCCGCCGCCTGGGGGACGAAATCATTAACTTTTCCTCACTGTTGGAAGGGTGCTCTGTACAAATTAGAAATCGTTTCCTCAAGCTGGAGGCCCTTCCCGGGGATCCATCTGCCCTCATCCCAGGAACCTGTCACCACCACAGGACATCAAAGAAAGACGTTCGGGCCAAAGGGAACTGAACTCACCTCTCCTCTCTGTCTTTTTCCCCCTCCTTTTTCCTTTAGGGTTTGGCTTTGTCACTTTTGAGAATGAAGACGTTGTGGAGAAAGTCTGTGAGATTCATTTCCATGAAATCAATAATAAAATGGTAAGTTGGTAGGGGTTGCGCTGAAATGTGATGCCTCCCTTCCCCCATATACACCCCTTGTCCTGCAGACTGCTGCAGCTTGGTCATGCTAGAAGGTGGGCAGGGTGGGCGTAGGCACCAGACTAACAGTTCAGCTCTGTGAATGGCAGGAGTTGACAAGCTTTTTCTGTAAAGGGCCAAATAGGATATATTTTCAGCTTTGCCGGCCATACAACTGACTGTCCAGCTACAAAACATCCACACACAACATATACATGAATAAGCAGGGCTGTGTTTCAATAAAGCTTTGTTTAGGGACACTGAAATTGAAATCTCATGTAATTTTCACATGTCACAAATTTTTATTGATTGATTGATTGCCATTTAAAAATGTAAAAAATCATTCCTAACTCTTGGGCTCTACAAAAGGGGGAGGGGGGGCAGTTTGACCTGCAGGTTGTAATTTGCTGACCCCTGGCTTAGGGTATGCATTTGCTGTTTAGATTGGGTTTTGAGGGGGTCTATCTTATATATGAAGTTTTATCTTCATGTATAAAAGTCTCTCTCTCTTTGGGCCCTGCTGGGTAATTAACGTTCTTCCCTTCTGATCAGCTAGATAGTTTTACCCTCATGATTAGCCGCTTTGGCCTCCTTTTGGCCCTTTAAAGTCCCTTTTCCGGGCAGGGCACCCTCAACAGGGAGGGGGTTGGATCATTGAAGTTTGAGGGGGCGGGGGCAGCAGGCCTACCAGAGGAATGGCCACCAGAGGGCGCCATACCACGTGCAGCTCATGCATGCCGACTTGAGGTCTCAAACTCCCTTATTCAAATTTAGTAGGTGGGTGAGAAACCCCTTCCTTGTTGGTTCCAGAAAAAAATGGGAGCTCAGCAGGTGTTTCTGGAGCCATAAGCAGGTCCTTGAGAGCCAAAACATTTTGGTTGGCCAGCAGCACCTCCAGCCCCAAGAGAAGGGGGAGGGCAAATTTGTGTTCACTTGCAGCTGTAACTTTGATATTTTCTTCCTTTGGTCAAAACATTCCTTTGCTTCTGAAACAGGCATTCAGATACGCGTTGTATATTGGTCTGATATGTGTTCACTGACTTTAAATTAAATAATAGAGCTTTTAGCATGGATAAGATCAAAGCAGTCTGCTTAGCATGTGGTGCTACAGGCCTGATTCAATATTTGACTTGCTAATTTTTTCCCAGGGCACTACAATAATAATATTGTTCGTATTGTAGCTAGCCGTCACCTGCATCTGAAATGAAAATACTATTTCTTTGCGTTCTGTGGTATGGAGGTGTCAGCTCAGGCATTAAAATGGCACACTGGAGATAAGTGTGTGGGAATAACCCAGGTCTAGAGAGACAGGAGACTTAAAAGGAAACCTGCTTCCAGTGCCCGGAGACCTTGTCTCTCCTAGCCAGGCCAGCTATTGACGGAGGGCTGCCTGGGCAGCGGGGAGTGGAGGGGGCAGCCCAGGGTGCTGGCAGCCTCCATGCCTGTCCTGGCAGGACTTAACGTAATGGTTCATCGGGGAAGCCCGGTGTAGACTGGCAAGAGGCCTCACTGTGCTGCCACAAATGCATATGTGCGGCCCTTCACTGTTGACTGGCTTGGTAACTAGCCTGAGACACAAAGTGGGAAAGGGCTTTCTTCTCCCCACTGTTCCCGTGGGGAAACAGAGGCTCAGGGGATATGCCCCAGGGCCACCCAGATAGTGAAGGAGCACAGGCCTTGAGGTATATTGGCTGCCAGGTGAACTGTACAGACGATTGTCTGAGCTTGGAAGTGGGGAGGCGAATCCCCAGATGACATGGGAGACAGTCAGAAGGTAAGAGTTTCAGCCCCAGAAAGGTAACCAGTGGGCTGGCCTGAAGCCAGAGAGGTTTGCAGCCGTTGTCCCCAATCGTTCACACTTGTCACCTTCTTTCCCACTCAGGTGGAGGCCGACTATGGCAGGTGCAGGTGACTGTGTGCAAAGTGTGAGGTTTCTGTTTTCTTTCAAATCTGGGGCTGGTAGTTGTTCTCTAAGAGAAGAAGCCGAAATGGAAGTAGGCAAGAGGAATGGGCTGGGGGTGCAGTGGTCGGGAACACAGAAGCCCATGGAGGCGTCACTGCAGGTGCCCAGCCCACCCCCACCAGGTACAGGCCCTAAAGGGGAACTTAGAGGTGCTGGGAGAGAGAAGCAGCAGGTCACTGCTGGTCACAGGGCCTGTGATGACCACCTCGTGGGGTGGCTGGGGCCTGGAGGAGATACCACAAGCAAAAGCACAGGGTCGGGCTTGATAAACGTTAGCTCTTGCCACGGTCCACGTCACCGTCGATGAAAGGACTTCTCCGGCAGGCTCTCCCCCTCCGAAGGCTGGAGTGTGAAGCGTATCGGTAGGGAAGCCCGAACCCTGAATTGCTTTGGATTCTGTGATACTGGTTTCTACTTCTGAGGCCCAAAGAAAAGGAAATGAATTTAAACTGTGCTATGGACAGAATTCAAATGAGAGATCGGAGAGACTGAGAACTCAGAGACTGCCAAGCAGAAACAGGGGCGGTTGTGAGAATGTACGTAGGAGTGTTGTGTAAACTGGACTGTGGTTCGAAACTGTAAAGACAGCTCTCCCGGAAGCCCCACAGTCTCTCTGTGAATTGGGCAGGAACAGAGAGCTGCGGGGACCACCGCCCCCCCACCCCACCCCACTCCGTTCCCACAGAGTCCTTGGAGCTACCATTTTCTCATTTTCACAGAGAGGAGAGGTCTCACTGATGATGAGTCACAAAGATAGGACTCGAATCCAGCTCTTCTGGTTCTTAACCCAGTCCTCGTGTGCCTGGCACTCAGTAGGCCCTGTATAAATAATTGTGTGACGAATAAAGGATTGGGTGAGGGACCACGTGACAGTGAGGCACATTATCATTCCCAAAGCCATTGCCCATCTAATTTGGTTGGTGAATCTCCTGGACATTTGTTAAAATGAGGGCCCTTCCCTGACGTCCAAGACAGCCAGCAGCAGGCACGAATGCTTCTGGCTGCAGAGGAGCAGGGAAGCCGGGACCGCAGGAACTGACACACCCCCACTGCCAGCTTAGAGGCCTGGCCTTAAGGAGGCTGCCTCCGTGGCGGTGGTAGCAGGGGGATGGGCAGAGAGCCCCACCTGGTGCTCCCACACGAGATCCTATGACTAGCCAGTATTTTTGAGAGCTAACTCCATGCTTTGCTGAGTGTTTGCTTTATGTATGTCATTTGACTATCACCCACATCTGATGTAGGTACTAATTATCACCCCCATTTAACTGATCAGCAAGGTGAGGCAGAGAGAGAAGTTAAGCAGCTTGCTCAGAGCCACATGGCCAGAGAGTGGCAGCAGCAGATTTCAAGCCCAGAAAGCTAAGGTCCAGACCTCACATTTGTACCCAGTAGGCTGTTCCCCGTTCTCCAGGCTGAAAGAGACCTGAAGGGTCATCTCACTGGGCTACAGCCCTCCAAGGCCACTGACCACCCCTCCCAGGCAGCCGTGCTGTGGCTTGGGTGGTTCCAAGTTCTCCTAAGAGAAGGGCAAAGGACACAGGCTCGCTCGGGGCTGGATTCCCGGCTGGGAAGAAGGGCCGAGCTTCTAAGGGGTCCCTGTCGGCCACAGGCATCTCCCCCACCCCCCAGAGGCAGGTGAGCAAGGGGCATGGGGGCAGCAGGCTGCCACCGGAGCTCAGGGCCTGACCGATGAGACTCAGTCCCGTCCTCCGACCTGGCACAGTCAGAGCGCAGCACAGACATGGCTCCTGTACAGTAAACACACGGATGCGCACGCAGGGCCGCCTGGTGACCGTCCGGAGGGGGCTCCTCCCCGGACACTCAGCGAGCCGGTGCTGGTGCAGTAGTGACACATCCCTCCCGCCGTGGGCCCTGATTGAAGCAGCGGGGACACTTGCCTGATTAGTCACCAGCACAGCCTCCCAGTGCCTCCTGGCACTGCAGGGAGGCAGGTGGGAATTGACAGAGACCTGCCAGGCCCCTCCGAGGCCTGGCTCAGCCCCCATCTCCAAGGAGTCGGAGGCGACGCCCGCCCCACCGGGTGAGATCTCGGGGTACATTTAGAAAGGGGCCAGGCAGGGGCACCTGTGATCCACAGCAGGACATCGGCGGTCACCAGGCACTGTGCCAGCAGCTTACATGCACGAGGTCATTGTCCCATTGTAGAGAGGGGGACAGTAGCGCTCAGAGCCGTGAAGGGACTTCCACAGTCCATGGCTCTAAGGGCAGAGCAGGGATTTGAACCTGTGTCATTCTGGCTGCAGCCCTGGGTCCTTCCCACTCTACCCTGCTGCCACCTTAGACAAACCTCATCATTGAAAAATCTGGATTGATTTGACTGGTAAATATAAGAATGAATTTTTACTTGCTTTACATAAGGGTTACTACAGAATTCCTTTAAAAAGTCCTTTTCCTTGTTCGTTTAAGGTGATCCAATTTATAAAAATTGCTAAGCAGTTGGCAAGCTTGTTAGGAATGCAGAGTGCCAGGCCCCACCCCTGATGTACTGAATCAGAATCTGTATTTTGACACATCCGCAGTGATTTGTAGGTACATTGAAGTCTGAAGGCGCTGGCGAGGATCACTGCTAATGAGATAACGTCGGGGGTTGGGTCACAAATCATCCATCCAGTGTCAGAAGGAAAGAACTCGGGAGTGAGGGGCCTAAGGCCGGAAGAGCATGGAGCCAGCTGAGCTGGCCTGGCCCGGGATCACCAGGCCAGTCCGGGACTCTTGGCACCACTGCACACTCCCTGTGTGTTCAGAGACCAGATCTTCTCCCAAGGAAGCTCTCAGTGTCGGGGCCTCCCCTCTGATTTGGGTCTCGGAGTGTTGACTGCAGGTGTGTGAGGCTCCTCCAGTGGGTGATGGGCTGGATCCTTGAGTGATATCGCATGTCCTTGTCCCCAAGTTGGGACCTGCCGGGTCATTTAGAAACGCCCAGGACTTGCCCAAGCCCGAATCCCAGACCCACCACTGGTTATCTTGTGACCCAGCA